GATTTGATGAAGTATATTTAACTTTAAATTTTTATGATTGAGTCACTGAAAAGAGGAGTGCACTCCAACACATGTGATAACTTTCATTTCTTTTAAGTTTTTTATAACCATCATATCTATAAGACCGTTCTCAACGATTTATTCATGTATACTTATTTTATTCAGGTGTCACATTATTGTGATAAATATTTTCTATTCATAGATCTAATCAACATAAAAACAAAAGATAAGTGTATTGGAGAGATTTGTCAAAGACTACTAAGATTATTGGCTTTAATTTTCTCTCACGAATCGTGCAAACTTTATCAATATGACTATAGCTCCAACAATAAAAAATATCATTAACACAATTCAAATTCTTATGGTGCAAAGTTTGTGACTATGAATATATCTAGAACAGTAAAAAGATTAACATCATTCATGCTTTATATACTGAAATAATAAGAATAAAATAGTTTGACTTGTTTAGTGAAGTAGAACGAAAGTTTGTGAAGTATGTATTGGAATTTGGAAAATAAAGCAACAGTAATGGAGCATGTAAAGAAAGTGTGGCAATACTATTTCTCCCAATAGATGATTGCAAATGAGTTGATTTGGAAGTGGAAGGTCTGGAATTGTACTATTTCTCCCAAGTAATGACATGTGCAGCTGAAGTTGATTATAGTCTCCAAATAATGGGTACTTGCGTCATAAGTAGATATGCCTCGAGTATACCAATTTCTCAAAAACTAGCTACATAATGTACCTAATAACAACTATTAATATGATATTATGCTTACATGCGATCGGTCATTGTAAAATGACAATAAAAATGAGGAAGAATATTGAATGAGGCCGCTGCAAGGTATAGATTTTGTCTCACTCATCCTATAACGATCCCTGTTCAAGACTAGAGTGTTACATATTCACCCGCTTTCTCTTTGGTTCGTTCTTGAACCACAGTTTACTAGGAGATGTATTGCTCTGATACCATTTGTAATAATTCATACTCATAATTTGGATTAGGATATATAATTCGGATTTGGCACCTAATAGCTCTAGTTTCCTCATATTCATCTTCATCTTATTTACTGTCTTGACCTCTATGACGAGTCGACTGTTGATTGTTGCTCATTAACAACTACGGGCGACTATATTCTCTTAATCTATTTCTTCTATCTTTTTTCTTTATTTATTTGTTTCTTATTCTTCCCTTCCCCCTTTCTCACCTTTCCTGGTTATTAAAAACAGGCAATAACCAATAAGAGATGCTAAGATGATTCTTTGTAGAAACTTGTAGAGAAATTGTATTAGACCATTTAATTTCGAATAGGTTGAGAAGAAGAATGAAAATGAAAATAAAAATGGTTGTTGATGTCTGATAGCAAGCGACGACTAATGATCGACTAGCAACCATTGTAATCGACACTAATAAAAGGAAGGGAAAGATAGGGACGGGGAAGGAGAATATGAAGTGGAAGAAGAAGAAAGAAGGTTTAATAGTTTAAAAAATAAAAATAAAAAGTATATAGTTTCAAACTTAATTTTCAAAGAGAAAAAAGATATAATAAACATCAAGGAAGGTTGGCTATAACTTGAGAGTTTGGGCTTATGTCCTTGCAAGACCAAAGAGAGCCCAAATTGAAACTTGGACAATGACATGAATGACCAAAATTTAAATGACTTTAAAGTTCATCGTGATTGGCCCAATAGGGTTCTCTTCTGATTGCGATAAATCATCATTTATGACTCATATAAGAACACCTACCCATCTGGATTCTATGGGCCTCTCAAGAGTTCTAATCTTTTTGGCAATTCTTTGACATTCACCCAACTTGTTCCAATGGTGTCTCATGGATGGCTGAATTAGGGCCTCTTCTAATTGTGATATATCATCACTCGGCTCGTATGAACCCATCAATTCATTAGAGTTCTGCATAAGATATTAAGGTGAATTTTGAATCGTTCTTTACTACTGCTTGCGTCGTTCAACCATGTGTTATAATTCATGATGTGCGATTAGTTCTCATTCAAATATTGTATGGTATGTTTGGCAGATATTTTGGAATAAAGTCAGATCAATACTTACGGATTAGTTGGAAAATCCTAAATAAGTGTAACGACTCGAAATGTTCTACTTAATTTAAGATCGCTACTGTATACCATAAACATTAAATGCGGAAGACTTCATTTAAATTTCATAAAACATAACTTTTAACTTAAAGCACAACCATGGACTTACGTGTTTCGAAAACATCTTTAAAACGACACAACAAAAGACCCAAAATAAAATAAATAAGCGTTTAAGTTTAAAACATCATATTCTAGCCTAAGTCTAAGAAAAGAAATACCACCATCCTATGCATGTGCCATGATCTCGATAGTAAGGTCGCTTACCTGGCTCGCTTAAGTCGTTGTCACAAATATATCTTTAATGAAAGTTTGATTCCGTCCTTTGATATCTGAGTCAACCTATATGAGCTCATGACAGTTTCAAGTTTGAATTCTATAAAATTATTTCCTTAACTTACATTTGTCATCTTAAAATTCTGATATTTTCTGTTAGACAAAATTTAGAGGATTGCCCTCTGATATTTACTTGTTTTATCGTTAAATATGGTGGTTTTGGTGTAAACAGATATTACTGCCCAATTTTAAGTCCATTGTTTGGCTACATCTTTTAGTTTATAGATTTGCCAACTAAAATTTTATTGAATCTAACCTTATAAACTTATTTCGTATAACTCTAACAAAAATCTAATCAATTATATATGGGATCTGATTATTACAGACATGTTAATATATGAAAGAAGATTTGATCCTAAATTAATTTCTTATAACCATAACTATAAAGAAAAAGAAATTTGAGATAGAATTTTACCTTAATAACTGACAAAAATCTCTAAATCTGCAATCGGCTTATGTTGAAAGTCATTTTACTTCTTCTCAAATATGACCGTTAGTGGAGAAAGGTGGGGAAAGATTTTTTTTAAAATTTTAATTTTAATTAATTAATTAATTAATTAATATTATTATTTTAACTATTTTTTTTTATAAAGTTTTTTTTTTTTAAATTTGTTTATTTCTTTATTTATTTTTGGGTTATTACAATAAGTCTATAATGTTAACTTCAAGGTCTAGGAAGGATCATTGTGTCTGTCAACTACTTGATACTCCGAGTGACTGCTCACTCAATTTGTGGGCAAATTTATGATCAAGGGAGCTTGTTGGATAATTCCCTCTCCGTGTCTACAATGATACTGACACAATTAAAACCCGATTTCAAAGTACTCCCAATTTGAGGCATCACCAAGTCATGTTAGGTATGGATATAGGACCTCCGTTAATCGAGATATGTTCACTAATAAGGCTACCTTGCTGGCCTATTAGTTCCAACGTTGCCTAGTAAAATTCTAGGGAAGTAAATCCATATGTTGGGCATATTATGTAGTTCAATCCATATGTTGGGCATATTATGTAGTTCCTCGTCGATCAAAACAAATTCATTGGTCCAACACAAGGCTTAGTAAAGACACATGTGAGACCTCACATCAATTTGAGAGAGAAACGAGTGTCAGCGAAGACGTTGAGCCCTAAAAGAGATGTATTGTAAGATCCCACGTCGTTGAAAAGGGAACAAAACATTTTTTTTAATAAGAATGTGAAAGCCTTTCCTTAGTAGACATATTAAAAAACATTGAGGGGAGTCCGAAATGGAAAGCCCAAATAAGACAATATCTACTAATGAAACTTGGCTATTATAACACGACAATAAATTCTTTCACATACTTTGAGTTTTCTCTCATTCAGTGTGGTATCTATCTTCGTTATCTTTACAAGGTATTCTAACAGTTTAATCGTTCGACCTTGTCATAATCGTATTTTGAACCTATCTTCGTTATCTTTACAAGGTACTAACAGTTTAATCATTCAATCTTGTCATAATCGTATTTTGAACCGTCCTTTTCCCTATATCTATCTCTGAACAACACAATAAAGTTTGATGTTAACAATAATAACAAAAATTGAAATGACAATAATTTCAAAGAATAAAAATGTCTTGATCTAACAGCATCAACATTATTAAATGTAAATGCAACTGCCTAACTTCATTTTCATGGCCTCCACAGCAACATCATCATTTGTACAAAGGTGTCATACCTTTACGTAATAAAAAAGTAACATGTGGCTAGATTATTTAAAGAAATTCTCAATAAGTAGGTCGAGTGTTGGGTCGAGAAATATAATCATGCCGGAACCTATTTGCCTAATCTTTTTAAGTGACTCCTTATAAAATTTTAAGATATGTAATAAGAGCATTTGGGTCATTTTGCAATTATTTGTTTAACTCTTTAACATAATCCAATAAATTAATTAATTAATTTAGTCAGCTCCATTTTGGATTCCTTCTCTTAAATTGTTCACCATCCCCATAATCATTTTGAGAATTTTCATGGGTCAACCATGTTTAATGCAATAAAACAAACTTTGTTCATACTTCAAGGAATGGTCCTCAAATACCCACCCTAATCTACCTCTCCCTTCGATTCAAGTTTTGCCGTTAAGGATCCAATTGTCAACGATTTTCGGTCAACTTAATATTTACATTTGGGTTACTCGTGTGGCTTACATTCAATCCCACATCAATCCATTAACACATCTATTCAAATTCATAACATCCACTTGTTACAAGCAAGACAGACGTAAAAAAAAAGAATAATAAATTAAATTAAGGTTTATTGAAGATACCATAATTATAACCAAACTTTCTCCTACTTGAGCATACAATAATCCTTACCTAACTTTCACTCCATTTTCTTACCCATCGGGGCCATTCTTATGCTTTCAAAAACCAAACAATTCAAAAAAAATCTAAAACCTAATAGCATTTAATAATTTCTTTTCACAATTGCTCCACATCTACAACGCACTATACTACTAATTAATGTAGTGCCTATAAGATATTAAATAAGATGGAGTGTGTAAGATACTTTAATTTGTTTAATAAAAAAAGCATCTTGATCATCTTGATCTAACCCCCACCACAAAAATTTCTAAATTTCTAAAACATGGCCGCAGAGAACCCCGATTGGAGGTCCATCAATCAAGAAGCCTTCATCTCCTTGGGAATCGAACACCCTGATCCTCAACAATCCTTCTTCCGCCACCGATTTCACCAACTTTACCCAACCGAGTTCTACCAAAAGGTAGCGATTCACTCGACTTTTCTTTTCTCTATTCCACTCTTAACTAAATTTCCCTTATAAAATTTCAATTTGAAGTGACTGCGTCGGTGTTAAGAAGGATATTTAGTATTGAAGTGTAGTTTACATATATATTCTAACATTTTCACTTGGGTCTATGTAGGTTGTGGCAGAGCTGATTGCAACGTATTTGCTTGTGTTTGTGACATGCGGGACGGCGGCATTGAGTGTCCATGATGAGCGGCAACTGCCCAAGCTTGGCGCGTCCATTGCGGGCGGCCTTATTGTCACGGTCATGATTTACGCTGTCGGACATATCTCTGGCGCTCATATGAATCCCGCGGTTACTTTTGCTTTTGCTTCTCTTAGGCGATTTCCTTGGAAACAGGTTCCTTCTTCCTCCTCTTAATATTCTTTTTCTCAACGTTTTTGTTAATTTCTATTCCTTTGTGGATGTGTAGTAATAGTTCAGGATGATTTGTGTGATAATAATTTGGGATGGAAAAGTAATTTATGATTGAAATGATTATATATATATATTCATGAGATCCTATAATATACAAATAAATAGCGAGCGATATGATGCAACATATAAGATTTTCGTATGTATAATAATACTTGTAACTCATGTGACTGATATATATATTATTTATTATGTAATCATACATAATGATCTATCTTAGTAGTTCATAACAATGATCATAGTAGCACATGCATCACCTACGTACATAACTATTTATATTAGTAATTCATGTCCATTATCATAATTGTTGTAACAGAAGCAGAAACAAGATGATCGCACTCACAAATTCACTAACACAAACTAAATGAAGAGACATAGATTTATGTGGTTAGGAGAGAATAAATTTTCATACATTCAAGGGTGGCAACTAATCACAATAATCAAAGTGTTTATAAAGTGTATATCTCATACTCTCACACCACAGATTCTCACTCAACAAAATCCCTCGTGTATGCCCCTAGGTAAATAAAAAATGACACTCAATCTCAATAACAATGCTAGACAAACCTATATATAGGCATAAAAAATACTAATTCTCATACATAAATCAAATCAACACTAATATTTAGATATGAATCAAGATGATTCATGTACCAATGTGTGAGATGGAACGATGTATTGTCTCTTTGTGTTTTCCTTTTCGAGCTTCTCCTCAAGGTTTTTAAAACGTATGGAGAGATTTCCACATTTTTATAACAAATGTTTTATTCTCCTCACCAATCGATATAGGATCTCACAATCCACTTCCCTTCGGACCCAGCGTCCTCGCAGACACTCGTACTCCTCTCTCATCGATATAAGATCTCACGATCGCATCTTACATAAACCTTCTAACATCAGAACCAACTCAGAACCGAAAGAAAAAAACTCAATTAGTTTCAAACATGATTTTTCTTGAATTGAATTAAATATTTGATTTTTATTACAGGTTCCACTCTATGTAGCTGCTCAACTAAGTGGTGCTACATCGGCAGCTTTTACCCTGCGCATATTATTGGACCCAATTAAAGAAATAGGCACTACTACACCTTCTGGTTCCGAGCCTAAAGCACTTCTCATGGAGATTGTTGTCTCATTCGATATGATGTTCGTCACTTTTGCAGTTGCCACCGACACAAAAGCAGTAAGAACAAATAAGCTGAAGTGATTTATTTATAAGTGATTTGTATAGAATAATGTGAACTATGTTCGAGATTGATATTGAATACTAAATTTTGGTTCATCAATGAATGACTACTCATTTTGGCAGATAGGAGAGCTTGCAGGTATAGCAGTCGGTTCAGCTGTTTGTATCACATCTATCTTTGCAGGGTAAGCAAACAAAAATTCAAAATGGTTTGGGCAAAATTTTATGAGAGACCTCAATTTGAAAGCATTTTCAACGTGTGCATAGCCTTGAAGAGAAATTCTCATAACTTAGTGTTAACCATGTCTAGGCCTATATCGGGTGGATCGATGAACCCTGCGAGGACAATTGGACCAGCGATTGCAAGTTCACATTATGAAGGAATTTGGGTGTATTTGGTCGGGCCAGTTATAGGGACATTGTTGGGAGCATGGTCATATAATTTCATACGAGTGAGTGAAAAACATGGACATTAACTTTTTATACGTTGACATTTGCTCGAACTATGACAATAAATTAGATGATGGAGAATGTTCAAAATTAACTATTTTTTAATGAAATAAAATTTGTTGTATAAAGGGTGTATGTCAAAAGTTTTTTTTTTTTTTGGTTTAGATTGAATTTTAGGAACAGTTTTTTTTTTTATCACAAAACTTCAAGAAGCACATTCCACAAAACTTCAAGACGCACATTCTGGTGCTAATGAAGATAATGTTCCAAACTTATCTTCACCTTATAGCTTAAGTACTATTAATCATCTAATAAATAATATTTTCTTATTGTTTAAACTTATATAAGAATGATCTTCCCCTTATAGTATTTAAAAGAAAGCATATTTGGGAGAAGTAAATTATGGGTAAGATTATATTCCTAGCTTCATATTTGTTTAAATTGAATAAGGTATTAAAATTCATTTTCATTCCAAAAAATCAAAAAATAATTCCTCAAAGGCAAGAGCTTATAACTCACTCGAGATTATCGAATTAATACTGATCATGTGAAATATTTGTTATAAGTTGTCGGGAAGATGTATTGGGTTTTAGTTCACAACCCTTGATGATTCATATTCTCATTTATTTTGGTTACCAACTCTCATTTAATTTATAAATATTTTGGTTCATATTTTCATTTTTATACCTGAATCATGTCGATTCATGTATGAACATTAACGTTGCTATACTTATATAAAAGCTTGTTTAGCATTATTGTGGGGTATGGAATCATTGTCATTTTGTATTTGAACTTTGTAAGAGATATTGTTTAATCCATTTGATTGTAGTTCATCCATTATTATTGGGTCAAAAAACGTTTGCCAATGCCATCCACCCATCCATTCACGTGAGGCTTGGGCAGAGTGTTGACTAATTATGACAGCGTCACATGGAGACAGTGAAATTTGAACAGAAACAAGAGGTTTCATTGCTCATAATAAAAGGAATAAGCCGAAGCCAAGAAGCTCCCCCGATTGGGTGACATACTTCATCTTCTTTTTCAAGAAGAGAGCATAACAGATCCCAGTTTTCTTGAAGAGCACAAAAGAGATAGAAATGGAAATGGAAATGGAAATGGGTTGTGTTTTCTAAGGGCATTTGGGCCCTCCTTCCTTGGTCTTCCAGTTGTTGTAGCAAGGGCAAACGCCTTTGTTTCCATAGTAACCCGGCGGCAGGCACAAGCACTTTCTGCAGCATTTTTGGCAAAAGAACATGCATGGTTTGCGTACTGTGTCCTCCCGCATCGAGCGGCGCACCGACTTGGGCATTCTGTCAATTTTTTAACCCATTTCATATCCACTAATTCAAGCAAATCAACCATAAAAAATTACTCAAAAACTGTTGGGATTTGGAATTAGGAGAGTATTTACGGTAGATACTGACGCTCCTTGGTCCATATGGGTTCTGAACAAGCCAACAACAATGCACATCAAAATAAGAGTACTACAACAACAAGGTGTTCGAAGAAATGCCGCAATGGGAAATAAGTGATTAAAGAGTATACCAAACCCCATTTTCAAGCCCAAGAACAGAGCAGGGGCATACAAGGTGTTCGAGAAAATGCCGCAACGACAAAAGAATCCAAGATTATGGAATTCCGAACCCCAATTTCCAGTCACAAGGAAACTAGACTAGGAAAAGATACCCTGTTGCGACCACCACGTCCATTGCCGGCCATGACCTGCAGAACGGATCGAACCACAAGAACAAAAACAGTCAGTTTTCTCACTGTGTCAAGAAGAGTATTAAGGTAGAGGTGCAGAGGGTCTCACAGTGGTCTCAAACATGGAAAGGCCAATGAGAGACAAGATCAAGATAGCAGCGAACTTAGCCATCGCCATCGCCAGGTGCAAGAGAAGAAGATTAAGAGGTAATGGGGAATTGGAGTTTGCGATCTCTTCTCTGCTCTTCTGTGTTGGGAATAAATAGGAAGGTTTGAGGGACAGATGGGAAGAAGAAGAAGAAGAAGAAGGAGGAGGAGGAGGAGGAGGAGGGAATAATCGGGTGTTGTCGCTCATATGCTTTCGATTTTGGTCCGACACGTGGCACATGCCCAGTCCCCATAAATCGCGTTGTTTTTGCAATATCAGAAAACCAGCGGCTCAGGTCCGATGGCAAAATTTTTTATTTTTATTTTTATTTTATTTTAATATTTTGAAATTATAAGAAAGGGAATTGTTTAATTTTGCTCCAAAATTCAATTTTATTTAAAAATGGACAACTTCATTGTTGGATGATGAAAGTCCCACATCGGCTACGGAATGATCATGGGTTTATAAGTGAGGAATACTAACCCCATTCGGATGAGGCCTTTTGGGAAGCCCAAAGCAAAGCCATGAGAGCTTATGCTCAAACTGGACAATATCATACTATTGTGGATAGTCGTGTGTCATGCCCTAAACTTAGCCGTGCCAATAAATTGGCAAATCCTCGAATGTCGAACAAAGGACTCCAAAAAAAGAAAAAAAAGGAGTCAAGCCTCCTCGAAGGTACGAAGGCAGTTAAAAATGACTAAGACTCCAAAGGAGTCGAGCCTCGATTAAGGGGAGGCGTGCTTTGTTCGAGGGGAGGTGTTGGATGATGAAAGTCCCACATCGGCTAATTTAGGGAATGATCATGGGTTTATAAGTGAGGAATACTAACTCCATTGAGATGAGGCCTTATGCTCAAAGTGGACAATATCATACCATTGTGGAGAGTCGTGTTCGTCTAAAATACATGACTACCTAATGATTTTACTTTTGCTTCCGCTACAATAATTAAGTACCAGAACATTTTAGTTGTGTCATTAAAATACAACAAATGATATCATAGCGTTAAAGGTTATGACATTATGACACAACTAAAACCTTGTATTTTAATAATCTTTCTCGAAGTCATTGAAGAATGCAAAGACGAGGGTTAGTTGGTCATTCCGTAAATTTCGCTGAATCCCTTCTTTTTATAATCTTTCTCGAGGCGTTCATTGTATTTATCCTAGCGAAGGAAATTTTATCGTAGAAACTAATTATGATTTTTAACCTGTTCCCCACCCCACTTAAACTAGTTGAATGATTATCCAAACAAACCTTTGTTTGAGTTTTTCTATAAACTTTAAAACACCAATTATCTTAGTCTATTATTATAACCACATTAATTTTTAGTTGAAATCAAGATCGCCAATATGTGCATAAACATATTTATAATGTATCAAAAAGTAACAAATTCATTAATTTACTAAAGTCTTTAAAATAATCGGAAAAAAATAGATGATCGCGATTTATTTAATAAACAAGGAAATAAAATTATTTGCCATAAACTACTTTAAGGACTATAAATGAAAACAACATGCATGCAGCAACTTTAGCTTTGGTCCCATGGCCATCACCACGAAGTCATCAACGGTACATAAATGTCTTACCTTTATTTCAAAAATATAAGATTAGCACGTGATTTGAGTATTTTTTTTAAAAATATTAAGTAAGTGACTTACTATTGGATCATAAAATGCATACACAAGTAATGGTGGAGAGATCTATCCTTTTACAAAAACATTTCATGACCTTGAACTCTACTTTCTAATTCAGGCAAAATTTGATATGCAATATTTCTCTACTCACTGGACTAACATGTACATACCCTTGGACCGGCTCTTCAGCTAGTCAAATATACTTTTAAATTAAAGTTCGACAGCAAATCCCTTTTCGCAAATCAAAGTTTTCAAGTACTTGTGTCACATTCTTCAAATGAATTTGCAACATGTGAATCTCTGATAATATTTAATGGTCAATTATTAGAGTGGTGCAGTGGTAAGTCCATAACCCATAGGTCCCCTGATAGAACATTTTGTTTATAGGTGTATGATGTAACAACGGTAGAAAATGAATACCCACACTTTACCTATGGCGACTTATGTTACCTCAGTACTCCAACTAGTCATTAATCAATTTTAAAAATTAAAATTAAAATTTTTGCGATTCTTTACAGATCTTCGGTCTCAATTTAGCTCAACTTTTTTTCTTTTTAGGCTTATTTAAAGGTGGGTTATCATTTTATATGATACCTTTTTATGCAAAATTCAATTCGGTTTTTTCGTTGGGAAGAATTTCAATCCAATAATCCAATGACTCTTCCTCATTCATGACCATTTTTAGTAATCCAAACCCTTAGATCTTTGGAGAATCATGTTTTGAGCAATTTACGTGAAGAACGCTCAATTAAAATCAACTCTTTCTAGCCGAATATGAAGATTGAAAGTCATATCTTATATTATCGGGAGGGATGAGGAGTGTTGTTGGTCAAGAGTGTAGTACAACCCACGTTTCCTCTTGACGCTAAAGATACACGAAATAAAATCATACTTAGTCGATCCTCATAACACACACCTGCAGGAGAGGAACCACAAGTAATAGAGAGAGATGGAACAGTCATCGTAGTTTTCCGGCGAAGACAAACCAAACCCTACCTCTCATTTTAAGACATCCAACGAATAGTTCCCAAGCGTTCCCCACGCATGACTACTTGTCATAAGTTTAACAGCATGAAAAAGAAATGTGAAATACAGAAAGAAAACGACAGAATACAAACAGTTTACCCCGTTGGACATAAACCCTAGTGAGACGAAAACTTCATTCCTTCATGTGTATAAGGTAATGCAACGCCATGAAATAGAGAACTAACGAGCCATGGAACACCTAGATGCACACGATCAATTACTACCAAAACAATGTCGTAGCTTTGTCAACCCGATGAATTGGTAGGACAACCCTTTGTGCGTACCAATATGTTTTGACTCTTGAATCAACGAGTTTTCTCCTCTGGATTGTTTTCAAATTGGCCAAAGCTGCAACATAGATCAAACAATTGCAGCAATAAAGAGAGTTTTTTTCCTAAAGCTGCCATATCTTTGGATTCTTTTCCCCCTACTTTCACAACTCATTTCAAATAGAATGTGTAGCTATAAAGGAAAAGGTTCACCTAGTTTTGTATAGGGTTTGCCCTCATAAGGATCCCTATGTCTCTCCTTTTAACCCTTTTGTATTATTAAACTAATAGCTTGTCTTTATATT